TTAACTTATTTAGAATGTTCTTACAGTTGTGTAAGTTACTTAATTTATTTTAAGTAATTGTTCTTACTAGTTGTGTAATTAACTTAATTTATTTAAGTAATGTTCTTACTAGTTGTGTAATTACTTAATTTATTTAATGTTCTTCAGTTGTGTAATTACTAATTATTTTAGAATGTTCTTCAGTTGTGTAGTTACTAATTATTTTAGAATGTTCTTCAGTTGTGTAATTACTAATTATTTTAGAATGTTCTTCAGTTGTGTAATTACTAATTATTTTAGAATGTTCTTCAGTTGTGTAATTACTAATTATTTTAGAATGTTCTTCAGTTGTGTAATTACTAATTACTGGCTTCAAAGTTCGTTGCTTTCATGATTCTGAAACGAATGGTTCCAAAGAGGTTGGGTTGGATGTTATGAAGGAGAGTAGTGACATTAACATCTTTCACGACTGTAATCAAGCTTACACTAGAGACCAGAAATACGAAACAATTTAACGACCAAAGAAAAGAGCTTAGAAATGTGAGCTCTTTTTAAGGACTACCAACAAAATTACACTAGGGACAAGAAACATGAAGCACAAAGTTCAGTGTAGTATGGAAATATGAAATTGTTTTTTGGAACTACCGACATCGGTACACTGGAATCTAAAACGATTTAAGAACTATTACTCAAAATATACTTAAGTCTAGACAAAATCAATACGTTTCAAAAGTACAGAAAAAATGTTGATTCTAGGGTTTCAACTTAAATCTAATGACGAAAGAATTAGTGTCCTTACTTTCATTTTTTTCTTATTATTTCATGAGCTAACTCACGACTTAGAGTAGGATGGGCTGCAAACCAAGTTTTTTGCCATAGATACTTTAAGCTAGCATAAAGCTGTTATGGCCACCACGTAATGGTCTGTGGTCGTCGAGCATATTCTCTGTTTCTGACTCAAATATTTGGAGATATAAGCTTATAACATCTAAGATAAATATATTTTTTCATTTGTAAAGCATTCTGTAGATTTGTTTTAAAGAAACGTAAATGATTTTAAAGAAATTATACATATCGTTATCCAATCACAAAAGAATAAATTTTGCATTTTATTTCACATAGATGGTCCTAATATGTTTGTAAATGGAATTTATTATTATATATTTTTCTAAATGACACACAGTTTTTATATTTTATCTTGAATTGGAAAAAGATAATTGTGTTTAAATTTCTAATAACTAACTTGCAACTGATATATGTGTTTGTATGTTGGATTGCTTACATTCATGCTTATATCAAATAGTAAAAACATGATTCAACTTTTTATATCCATTATATCTGATGCTTATTGATTCATACATATTCATCGTAAATGGTTTGTTTCAGAGCAGTTTATCCTGGTGAGCACTTTTTTGATCCCAGGGTACCTAATTTAAAAGCTTAGTTCCTATTCTGACAGTAAAGTTTAATACTGCTTTAAGAGATATGGCGTGAGAACGTATCCCCCAGCACCTGTACAGGTTTCTTAATGTGAAATAGTCTATTAAACAATTAAACTGAGTTATAAATATTCCGAAGTTGTAATTTGTTTATTCCTTGAAACTTTAAAGTTTAATAGTTTTGTTTTTCAGGATACTTTCCTTTGCTACTAGTTGTGTAAATACTAATTGCTGTAGTACAATAAAAGTAAGTATTATGCGTGAGGGTTAATGTGATCTTTATTTTTGATATCAGAATCAAATATTATACCATTATTATTTGTCAAAGGTATTTCTATGCATCGTTTATTTTAGTTTATTCAGGCTCTTACTGGAATCTTGAATAAAACAGAAATCAAGTTATTACACAACAAACACCACAAGTCTTGTTCTTTCCAATTTAACTAGACGGCAACTAAAAAAAAATATATACCAACGCTTATACAGAGTACTGTATGAATAAAATTAAAATTAAAAGAAAATACGTATTATTGAGCAAAGATTTAAGCCTGTAAGAATTAATCTTTTTTTTTTTTAAATTAACATGCATGACTTACCACCGTTTATTAGCTTAAAACCACCAGCTGCGTCGTTTGATACAGCTGACGTCGGTGGCGAAAGTTCTAAGAATAAACAAAAAATAGTTCTGTCACCAAGAGTTGAAAGACAAGTGTGAGTAGTTTGAGGTAACACATTTAATCATCAGAAATACTTTAATGTTTGAAACTCGTCACTTTGCAAAGTATCAATGACAAAGATCTGAAAAAAAGTATTTGTATTTTCAACCTGAACGGCACCTTATGCGATACGTGGGCTAAATGTACAAAGCAAATATTCTAAGTTCAGAGTATAAGCATCCCTAACTTTGAACCAAATGGAGGTCTAGCGGTCAATAGCACCCACCACACACCTAGTTATACTCTTAATCGAATAGTAGAGACCACACTGTCACTTTTGAACCTACCTACAGTATAAAGAAAGGAGCATATTACTGGCTCGGACCTGGGTCACGCGTGGCCAACCGGTTAACGAGCTTAGACTGTGAACCTGAGGGTTCATGACGCCCCCTATCACCACAAAATGAGCTTACGTTTTGGGATCATGGGTGTGCTATAGAGTAATGATTAAATCCTACTATTCTGTCAGGTAAGAGTAACCAAAGAGTTGAACATGGGTGATGTTGACTAATAGCTTTATATCTAGTCTATCAGCTCAAAATGACTGCCAGTTATTCGCAGATAGCCCTTATGAGCTATGAGTGAAAATTCTAGGTACAAAAACGGCTCAGACCTTTGATATTTTGATCCGCAACCCGGCATACTAGTCACTAATCTACGTCTGGACCATGAACGGAATAAGAAAACAATACATTTAGAGCCCACAGGCTTGTTTGTGAAGCTTTTAAGAGAGACTCCAGTAGCTCAACTGTAAGTTAGAAGGATTACAACGCTAACATTCGGGATTTGACCCATTCTTTGGGCACAACCCAGATAGCAATTATGCAGATATGCACTTAACAACAAACAAACAAAAAATGTTTCTGAGATATACTAATAATTATTATAATAATTTAACGACTATGGATTCGAACGTCAGTAGTTAGAAATTATTCCATGTTTATAATTATTATAAAAGAAGATACAGTTACAAGTTTTCTCAAAAAAAAACAACAAACATCCGACATTATAAAACTCGTGAAGAACGTGTTGAAGTAAAACTGAATTAACCTCAGACGTAATTTTTATTTCTAATATGCCATATGCGATTGACTAATCATACAGAATATTGAGCAGTATGGGAGCTTGAACCAGGCGAGAACGTAACTAATAAACCTATTCTAAACTTTACTAATAAATAAGTACAGACAATATCTTTAGTTAAATGTACTGTTTTATATGGATGAAGTTTTTGAGTAGTAAAATAAGTATACAGATTTGAACATTAGGTATATTAGATATTCTTATGTGGAAATATTTAAGGTTTTAATACTAGCCCAGGAAGCAGTTTTTTGTTGAATCTTACAAGTGCTTTATGCTACTAACACTAAGGAATTCTGCCTAGAAATTCTTCTCCTGGTTATTTCTCACACTTGTTAAACAGACCAGAACACCGAACAGTAATTGGTGTTAACTTTCAGTAATAATTCTATCTTCTGACGAATATGCTTTATATCTCTACGTTCTCATTTGAAGACAGATATTTGTAAATCAATCCGTGTATGTGTCTTTTTAGACAAATAGCAGTATAAAACTATCACAAAGAAGGGCTAAGTTTGCTTATCACTATCAAGCCAATGTTCATCTTGCCTCCATATCAGTTCGTGTTGATATCAATTGAAAACAGATTTAATTTTTGTTCGGCATCAGAAATAGTTGTACAACTGTAAAACAGTGCCAATAATATAATAAATCTTTACATGAGAGAGATTACACCAACCATAAAGTTTTATCGATCCTTCGGTCATGCCTAGTGAGTTTCTTGTCAAGCAGCTATATGCTCCAAAATCCTCTTTTTGAATGTTCCGAATCGTTAACCTCATGTGGACTTTATACGACTTGTATTTTAAGGTAACTTTGTATTTCTCGTTGGAAATTATCATCTTGCCATCTTCTCGATCCCAATAGTTGATGGATTGTGGATAAGCCTCGGCATGGCAGTCTAACGTAACATCTTGCCAGAGTTGAGCTCCAACTAACTGACTAGGAACCCAGAGGACTGGAGGAACTGGCCAGGAAAAGAAAAACGTTATTTTAACTTAGAAAAATCAAACGAACAATGGTAAATACAACTATATACTTGTGTGTATGTGTAATATCGGTTTTTTAGGTTTATTCGCTTCAACGTTTTTCACTATATAATTATCATATATACCTAACCACGATGTCTACATTTAAAACAAATAATTTCTATGTCAAACACATTCACTGTTTTATTCATAATATTCTGGTTGAAAATGCTTTAACCTAGATGTCTTTATTGGTTGTCCATGATGATAAGTAATGATGAAAATATTGAAGATATCTGAAGTCATAATATAACGTTCATATTAATAATACATATTCTTTCATCTATAAACTTCATATAATGAGAAAATTGTAATGCCTTAGTTATAATTTACACGTAAAATATATATAATGGTTTAATTGTCATGTCAGTATTCAAAACACCTAATATTTTAGCCTAGATCTCCGAATAGAAAATACGCAATGCTTTAACCATCATATCCACGCTGGAAACACTTAATGTTCTAAATATGATGTCCATGTACTGACTTAACTATAATGTTGACAATGAAGACGCGTAATGTTTTAAGCACAAAGTCCGAGCACTGTATTAACCAAAATATGAATACTATGTAGAAGTAAGTCATTAATAATGTCCAAACTGATTGTAAACAAAGCTTCAAGAATGATGTACGTAATGCTTTAACATTGATATACATGCTGAAGACAAGTATTGTTTTAACGATTATGTACTGTTTGAAAAGGCTTAAGTGTAATTTTCTTCTTTTTGTTGAGGGGGCGGGGGGTTAATAATCAGTCGCTAATTTTATTTATGTATTTGTTAGATAGTCCTGTCGGAGTTTCATAAGTGGTTTTGAAATCGTGCAACAATGTAATATAACACCACTAAGCTTACGTTTTAGATTGTCTTTACTTTCAAAATTACGAAAATGCCTGACGAGGTACGAAAAATAATATCCATTTTTCAAAGTAGGGTTAAATTTTTTGTTTAAGTTCCGGAAAGCAAATGATGCTTACAAGAACCACTTCGACTGTAAAGGAAAAATATCTTGTAGAACATTATCCAATGATTTTCTAATCAGTATTCAGAACTACTTTCAAATCAAATAAAGTTTTTTTTTAATTGAATAAAAGTACTTTATGAACCGCAATAATTTTGATAAAATAATATATATTTATTTGTTCGTGTAAATTAGACTTTAACGTTTAACGTCATGTTCCTAGTAATAATAAGTCACAAAAGGACCTGTTTTATATTCTTGACCAAAATCTATTATCTTCAGCTTCATTTGATAATCTCGTTAAATATATTTTGTTCGCTTTATTTTATGCTTAGACTTTCAAACCAAATTTAACGACTCACGTATTAAAGTGTAATGCAGTTAATAATGTTAATGAAAAACAAACCAACAACGTTATTTTTTTTCGAGGAAATCGTTATCGGCAGAATTTTTTATTCTCTTATAAAACGTTCTCTACCACAATGATCAAATGCTTAAATCTTTTACTGTGGCCCCCCAGTGGCACAGCGGTATGTCTGCAGACTTACAAAGCTAGAATCCGGGTTTCGATACCCGTGGCGGGCAGAGCACAGATAGCCCATTGTGTAGTTTTGTGCTTAATTAAAAACAAACAAACAAACTTTCACTGTAACGCTATACAAAGTTTGCTTTAAACTTGAAAAGATATTAATTAAATATGCAACAAAATCAAACACTTTATAATCACTTAAAAATTATAAATGCTGCGTATTAATTTGCAAGTTTTAGAAATATATGAATAAATAATTATTTAAACTGGAAATATAATACTCTTTGAAATATTCCAAGTAATTATCTTAGAATCCATTCATCTTCATAAAACAAGTAATAAGTAATAATAAGTAGTTACACAACATGTGACACGTGTTTCTGTGGGTATTTGAAAATAAAGCTTGTACTAGGAAAGTTGCTTTTTTTTATAAACGTGGCAGTGAAAGATTTAATGAACACAAACCTAGTTACATTAACCCTTGTATAATATAATTCTTTACATGAAAATGCAGCTTGAGATAAAATATGTGAAAATGCAACGTATCTTTATAGAAATGTGTACCAAACGTAAACATTTGACTTTATTTCTATTTACAATACTGTTAATAAATATCAACATTTTTATGTTTTATGCATGTTCAAGGGGCGGAGAAACTTCAAAATAACAACTGAGCTTTAAACATAAAAAGTATTTTGCTTGTAGAAATATTAAACATGAACATGGTTAATTATATGAAACATGAACTTCAAAAAAATTTCTGAACCTCATACAAAGAATCACCTTACAACTGGGGAAAAAAAATGAAGCATTACACATAAAAAATAAAAACTGTGGATAAGAAAGTAGCATTAGCAAAGACTACAGAAAGATTAAAGTTACCCGTTTTTTTTTATTCTCGCGCAAAGCTACACGAGGGCTATCTGCGCTAGCCGTCCCTAATTTAGCAGTGTAAGACTAGAGGGAAGGCAGCTAGTCATCACCACCCACCGCCAACTCTTGGGCTTCTTTTTTACCAACGAATAGTGGGATTGACCGTAACATTATAACGCCCCCACGGCTGAAAGGGCGAGCATGTTTGGTGTGACAGGGATTCGAACCCGCGACCCTCAGATTGCGAGTCGAGTGCCTTAACCACCTGGCCATGCCGGGCCTAAAGTTACCCGTTCGTGGGATTCATTGCTAAAAGATATCATCTTCCTGTCAATAACTCACCAGATTTTGACGCACTATTTAATGATAGCATTAATCAACAATATTATCTCTACTTGTATTGTTGTCTACAATAGTACTGCATGGAGTAATCACCAGATTTTGACGCACTATTTAATGATAGCATTAATCAACAATATTATTACTACTTGTATTGTTGTCTACAATAGTACTGCATGGAGTAATCACCAGATTTTGACGCACTATTTAATGATAGCATTAATCAACAATATTATCTCTACTTGTATTGTTGTCTACAATAGTATTACATGGAGTAATCACCAGATTTTGACGCACTATTTAATGATAGCATTAATCAACAATATTATCTCTACTTGTATTGTTGTCTACAATAGTATTACATGGAGTAATCACCAGATTTTGTACGCACTATTTAATTGGTA